TGGGGCTCTGCACAGTGGTTGGGATTAGGGACGGTTAGGATTGCGGGGTGGTGGCGGATGTTGGGTGTTTGCTAGGGGTGAATGTTGGGTGATTGATGGGGTGGAAGGGGATTATAAAACACGCTGAGAGGCAGACGCTCTCAGTGCTTGGCTTTGCTCAGAATTGCCAATTGTTGCTGTTGTTGGAGGAAACGGATTATAATAAACACGTCTTGCCACACTGGAACTGTGAGTAGGGTGGTTTAAAGTTTCATCGCATTCCAACGGAAGCTGACACAAAGCCAGCGCTCAGCAACATCTTTCCCATTTGTAAGACAGCTGTTTGAGGAATCATGGCAGAAGGCAAAGACCCAGAATGGTTGGAGAAAGAGGGGTCTGCGGAGGTTGAAGAGAGTGGTGAGAAGAGACAGGAACACAAGTATATGGGGGAGGAGTCTATACCAGTGGCAATGCAGCCAGCATTGAGAGCAAAAACAACCAGAGAAGTTTGTTTGAGTGAACGGAGTCATGTTCCTAAAGGGGATAAGTCTCAATCAATGGAATGAACATTGGGCTGGAAAGTCAAACGGTGGCCTGGAGCAGAAGAAAGTGGTTCCACAAAGTGATATGATGGAACTTTTACATCATCAATTTGGGGAGATGACGTTGAGGGGGCCGACAGATAGTGGCTCTTTGGGTCGTAAACCAGCATTGGCTTCTGACAGTAGTTTTCTAAACACATCTAGCCCACTGGGGTTTTGAGAGTCTGATGTTGGGAGAAGATTGGATCACTTGGATTTACATTCTAGGGGATTGGAAGAGAGAAGTGTAGGGGCCGAAAGTTATTCCATGAGATCTAGTTCTATGGAAAGATGAGATATGGAATATGGGCCTTGTTGGGAAGGAAAAACACAAGGAAGGTGGGGACCACCTCCCCTGGCAGCTACTTTTGATGGTTCTGCACATAAGGTAACTGTTTTTGGATCAAATATTGAACCATTTCAAACTATATGGCCAATGTTATCCATCCAATTGGTCTATGATTATTGCTGTCACTGGAGTATTGGTAGGGGAAGCCTATGAATGGGCAGCTGATTTATTTTGTACTAGAGCAGAAGAGTTAGGGGATATAGGACAATTTTTAGCTGCCCTAAGAACTCAATTTGAGGATACAACTGCAGATAAACAAGCAGAAAAAGGTTTGCTGCCTGTGAAACAAAAAGGAAGAACAGCTAGGGAATATGTCAATGAATTTCGATGGGTGGTCAGTAAAACTTCCTTTATTACCGGAAAGTCTGCTGATACATTTTTTCAAAGAAAGGTTGGACCCTAAATTACATCAAGCTTGCCTTATAGTGGCTCGCATGTTACTCTGACTGATTGGTATCGAGTATCCATAGAATTAGACGATGGACTTTGAAAGTGTTATCCAAGCACGTAAGACTATGGATCTGGTTATCAAACCTCAGACTAGAGGGGTCCCAATTCCAAGTGGTAGGGGCATACTGAAATGTTTCCGATATGATAGGCTGGGACACAGGGCTGTGGAATGTCCGATACCATCCTTGACACTGGAAAGAACACCTCACATTGGTCCTGATCGAACCAGATCAGGTACAAGCGAGCGGCGTGGCGGCCTAGCAGTAAAGCGAAATGTCTTGTGCTGGGGAGGCTCATAAGTCCTGTCACGGTGGGTCTTCAACTGCCATCTCGCTTTAAACGAATCCAACCTTTATTCCATATCAATCTACTAAAACCAGCTGATATGATCAGACAAGAACCTAGATTAATTGCGCCAGAGCCAATCCGCAACGACCATTACAAGATCAATAAGATACTCAATTCACATTGAAGACGGGGCATGTTGCAATATCTAGTGAGCTGGAAAGGTTATCCATTATCAGATGCAGCATGGATACCATGCACAGATGTGTCTACCCCCGGTTGTGATGGTGGTTCCATAAAAAAATACCCCACGAAAGAGGGCGGGGAGAGGGAAATTGAATGTACAAAACAATGTCTTTTGTTTAAAAGAGACACATGGTAGAGGGGGCTGCATGTCGGGTTTCCAACGCTGCCATGTCTTCCGACAGAGTGAAGCCCGACATGTAGCCATGGTTAGGGGCGAATGTTCGTCCTGGCAAGCCCGGGATGGGCCAGTGTTGATGAAGTTTGACGGCTCCAGGCATACCACCTCTCCCTTTTTCTGGCACAGCCAGCAGGAGCTTCATACTGGCTGATCAGCTGTTTGGCATTTCGCATTTTGCGCAGAGGGGCTTTTGGCTTTGTTGAACTGGGGCTGGCGATATGGACAATAGGGTGAGGAAATGTTTGGGGCTCTGTACAGTGGTTGGGATTAGGGTCAGTTAGGATCGCGGGGTGGTGGCGGATGTTAGGTGTTTGCTAGGGGCAGATGTTGGGTGATTAATGGGGGTGGATGTTAGGTGATTGAGTGGAAGGGGATTATAAAACGCGCTGAGAGGCAGACGCTCTCAGCGCTGGTTTTGCTCGGAATTGCTGTTGTTGGAGGAAACGGATTATAATAAACACGTCTTGCCACACTGGAACTGTGAGTAGGGTGGTTTATTGTTAAAGTTTCATCGTATTCCAACGGAAGCTGACACCTAGCATGAAATCTAGGGCAGGACTAGAACTCATGGTCTCGTTTCTAGCCAGATGCCTTAATCACTAGGCCAAATTGGCTCGCAAAGCAAATTGTGTAGATTAGATGCAAACATTGCATATAGTTTTTTTATTAAATTTTTATCCTGTCTTTATTATTTTATAAGTAATTCCTATTTCCCCCCACAACAACCCTATGAGGCAGTGGTTGGATTCAATTTTTTTTGAATTTGAATTTGTTCTGTGGGCATGGCTTGGTGGGCGTGGCAGGGGAAGGATACTGTAAAACCTCCAGTCAGAGGCGGTATTTGCTGGTTCTCCGAACTACTCAAAATTTCCGCTACCGGTTCTTCAGAACTGGTCAGAACCTGCTGAATACCATCTCTGCTATGAGGTGAGTTGGGCTGAATGAGTAACTGGCCAGTCACCCAACTGATTTTCATGCCTACATGAGGCTAGAATTCAGTCTCCTGGTTTGTTTGATAGGCCAGCACATTGACTGCTGCTTCAACTGGCTCTCATAGATTTCATATATCCCGGAATATTTGTTCAATTAACAACATACTGAACTGTACCGTTATAAACAGGTGATCTGGAGAGAGGACAAATTGATTATTTTTCTGATGTATAATTTTAAATCAGGAAGTAATACAAGGGTCTTCAATATATGGGGAGAAAGTAATTCCAAAGTGGAATAGAACCCCCCCCCCCCAAATATTTTTCTATAGAGCCATGGGAACCTTTTGAGTAATGTGGGATAGAGTGCCTCCTCCTATTGCATCATGAGAATATTAGCCAAATTGTTCAGAAGAACCTCCTGTGATCCAGAAAGGGTTTTTTTTGTACAGAAAGGACCAACAGAAACCTCCAGAACTCCTGGACAAACTATGATGGATTCTAATATGTGTTCCCCATTCCCCAGGTAACATAATTTAGTATATTTATAAAGCAAATAATTGAATGCTAACCTAACAAGTTTGGGTAGCATTTGGTTTAATTTTCTGCAGATTGTTTTTACATATCTGAAATTGTTGAGATTCATTTTACTGTATAATTTGCTTCGCATCAAAGTTAAAATTGGCTCTCTTTGTACAAAGGCTGATTTTTTTTCAAAAGAATTTATACAATATCAACAGTCTGCTGGGTGCTGTCAAAGAAGCTTAGAAAGCTATGAGCAAGCCCCTTTTTTCATCTCAGAGCCCAAGTCATGAACATTGAACAAATCCCATCAGTGCTTGGGGTATATAATAGCATTGTTGCTAAATCAATGGTGAATTGTATTGTTAATCCCTGGCATTTATTCAACCAAGCTCAGCAAGTTTCAGCAACATAGCACACCAATACTTCCACCAATGTATTTATAGATGTGATACTCAGCACCTCAAATCCATGAACCTTCAGGACAAATGAACAGAAGAAAACAAAACCAAGATAATGAAGACAGTGCATTGATAGCCATTCTATCTCCTGCTCAAGAACAGCCCAAAAGTCATTTTCCTCTCTTATTGAGTTACTAATTGCTTAAATCCTGTGTTGAAACATGGATTGAAACTGGATCCACTAAGTTTGCATTACGCCAATGTAAGCAGTGTGGCACTCTTGTCTGCCCCTCTGAATCACTCTCCAAATGTGGATTCCAATTTAACCAGCATGGAGGCAAAATAACAATTTATTCTAACATACCTGATGAATAAGTTTGGGTAGAAGTTATCTAATGGGCCAACTTTGATGAAAAATAAACTGTTATGACTTTTGCAAAGTCTTGGCTTTACTGGACTCTATAACATCTGAATTTTCATGGCGTCCTAAGCAGATTGTTTTTTCTAAATTATTTCCAAAGTTATAGATGATTGAATAAAGGAACAAGAGTTGATAAAATGAAATGGAATTATCACATTGTTACTTTTTAAATTTTTATCCGGTGCTTCACAATAATGCCTCTATTAATCTACTTGTGTCTAATTATAAATTATCCACATATAATAATTTTAAGTAATGTAGTACTGAAATTATGCTTGTTTCTTCACCCCCCCCCCCCCCATTTTTTGTTCTGTTGGGTGGTTACATATTTCATTTTTGTAGTTTGTCTGTAAGCTGCATGAGAGCCTTTTCAAGTAAGGAATAAGCTAAAATGCTTGTTAACAAACCAATTAAACAAGGTGATTGTTGCTCTCACAAGCCAGCAGTCTTAAGACTAAACAGGCTTGAAGTCCAAAGTAATCCCTCCCTTTGGTGTTCATTTCCACCCATCTCTGAATTAATTACTCTAGTAAAACTATCATGAATGAGAATTGGATAGTGAGTCTCGCCCATCACACTGTAATATTTATAAGAACAAAAACAGAAGGGAAAAAAAACTACACTTCATCATTTATACAGAAAACATGCATGAAGTACTACACGAACAATTTATAGCACTGTGCACTAACAAAAATAGATTTTATATTGCTATAGAGAAGTTTGGATGCTACTCTAAGTTGCTTGCACAGAAAAAAAAAACACCAGAAACTTTGATCTTACATATTGGCGACAGCTTGTTAAGATGATGTCTTTCTAATGTCTCTCTAAAGTACCTCATAAATATCTGCTATCCCAAATAAGTGTTGGATAAGCCTTTCAACATCAAGATGTGTGCTTTAACTTAAGAAGCACAAACATAATAAATTCCTCCCCTTTTCAGGAAAGTTCTGAAAAAGCAAACAACCCAGAAAGAGGTGGGGAAGGGGTTTTCTGGTAGCTGCAATAACATTGGATAATTGTGAACTTCCTTTGCTACTTTTAATTTTCTATTAATATTCTCTGCTGCTTATGGCTTATTGGAATGGAGCAGCACCGAAATACCACTGATAAAACAAATACTGTATAATGGAAGGGAAAAGGTGATGTTGAATAAAAGGTTCTAAAAGATGCATCAGTTTTATTCTTTCTCAAAGGACAGAACTTACCTTGAAAATAACATTCTAATACTATCATCTGCTGTAAATGTTGTGGCCAAATGTTTAACACAGCTGCTTCTGTTTACAGAATCAGAGATTTCACATGACACAGCTTTTTTCTCTTTATTTCTACACACCGGAGCTCAGATAATCTTTTTAGTGTATACACAGCACAGCAGAAGTAATGTGCATTCTTCAGCTGAAATCACAACCTGCTTCATGTCCATCCAACCTCTTTTTGTGTGGATTATGGATCGGATGGTGGGGCGGGCTTTCTCTTCTGGGAAACTTTCACAATCCCATAGCAGAGAATTTGTAAATCCTGGTCCTTTCTTTTATCTAAACAGATAGGGGATCTTTGTGTCATATTAGATACAGCTTGCTTTCACGATTCAAAAGATGATTTGGCATTAGGTATTAACGGTAGCACAAATGTACATGGCCCTGAATTGCACTTCCCACATCATTGAAGTCTGCCCGGCTTCCTTTATAGGTTATGAATTTTTACACATTATAATTTTATTTACACTTAAAATTATATCATTATAATGATATTAAGCATGCATACATTTCCTTATTCAATTAAGTAAACTTTCAAGTTTAATTAAAATTGCTAAACATAATTTTAAGTCCTGTGATATAAAACAGCTTATTCATACAACATGCTAATTTACAGTGCAATTTATTTGGCTCTGATTTAGTTGTAGGCACCTAATCAGTCAGCATAACAATGATTTAAGAAATTATAACTTGTGAGAGAAGTATTGCTACGATTCTCCAATTTTTGTTTTTATTTTCATGAGCCTTAGCCATTCATGTAGTCTAGACCAGCGGTCGCCAACTGGTGGGCCGCAGCCCACTGGTGGGCCGTGAGAAAATTTTGGTGGGCCGCAGAGAAATCTCACCCCCAGAGCACTCCCCCAAAGCAATTAATCCAGGCTGTGCAGAAACACAAGAAACACGCCCACATGGCCTGTGGGAACCCTCCTCGCCCACTCACAAACTTGCATGCTGAATTTCTATTTTTCCTTTTTCCGACCATCATCTGTTCTGCTCTGCCAGGATATTTAGATTAGCTAGGAAGAAGGAAATGATTGGATTTCTTGCTTTCTAGCTAGTCTTTAGATCTTTAGCTCAGCACAGCCGAACCTCCCTTAGGACTGAAGGTTTGCTTGCAAGCAAATTCAGTGCAGACTCACAGCAAGCAAATTTGAGAGACTGAGCTAGCCAATGGCAGATAGATAGATCTCTGAATGAATCTGTGATTCTGTGAGCAACTCAATCTGCCTGCTTTGCCTGATTTTAGGTAAAAGTTGCTCTTTTTTATAAAACATTCAATATTTATATAAATATTTATAATATTTACATACAAGCCATGCCCAGCCAGTCACATGATCACCAAGCCACACCCACAAATTAGGCCACACCCACAGAACCGGTTAGTGGTCCCTGGGATCTAAAATTATGAGTTTGATGGTCCCTGAGGTCAAAAAGGTTGGTGACCCCGGTCTAGACATTTTATTCCCTTCTATTAATGGAATGAAGATTAGTAAATAAAGGCAAATTACTGTATAGGAAATAAGTATGAAGACACAAGATCCCTTCTCCATAGGAAACATTTATGAGGACTCCAATGACCCTAGTGAGATTTATGTGCAAATGCCTTCTCGATGGGCTCCCTCTTACAGTAGCAGTATCAGCAGTAGTTTTGCTTCTTCTCTATGAGTTTGTCTTGTATGACTAATATAAGTGGCAACAGCAGCAATTTCATGAAAGCTAACTTCCTTTTTGCATCCTCCATAATGATTCAGACAGAGTAATTCTGTGCATAAAGAGAATGGCAGCTCTATCAATAGTAGAGAAAACAATGTAGTTTTGAAAGAAGGAAAAAGTTAAACAAAAACAAATAATCTTTGCTGATACAAGAGAAGGGAGTGCTGCTTTACTGTTGTGTATTCAGTAATGAACTGATATTTTTCATCTGGCCATTTTTTATATTTCATCTATTCATGATAATAGACATACCTAATACTCTTGACTCCTATTTTCTCCATAACTCTATGAAACGGGTTGGGCCAAGAGAAAGCGACATACAGAATTCATTCTGTTGGTTTTGGGTCAACACCTTAATCACTATACCAAACACAATAAATACCAGCCTATTTGGGAAAATGTGGGAAAAAAATATGGGCAAAAATTATGCTTCTATTTTTAACCCCACCCTGAAGAAAAATGCTTTACTTCATAAAGTGTAGAATAATTTTACTTTAGAGCCAGTTTGGTGTGTGGAAAGACAATCAGGCTAAAAACAGGGGAATTGTGAGTTCTAGTGCTGCCTTGGGCATGAAGCCAGCTGGGGGATCTTGAGCTATTCACTTCTCAGCCTAAGAAACAGATGGTGGCAAATCATTTCTAAAAAACTTGCTAAGAAAATTGCTGTGGTTTGTCCAGGCAGTCTGTGATAATTGGACATGGCTGAATGGAAGTAAAATATATTTTTTACTTTACAATAAAATATGGATTATCCTGAGCATAGTCAATCTGAAGAACAAAGTTGTTGAAGTGGAAAGAGACAGATCTTAGTTGATAATTATTGGGAATTTCATTGTAACAGACATAAAATGATATAGGTATATTCAACAATACAAATGGCAATATGCATGTTTAGTCTTGCAGTTACATTGCATAAATGCTTGTGTTTACCAATGTAAAAGCTATTTTAAGACAATAGCTGAATTTATCTATCTCTACCTCAGATAAATTCAGCTATCAATCATCTCTGCTTAGGTTGTGAATTCACCTAAATGGTTGGATCACTACATCACATTAAGTGAACTATAGGTCATTTTATAAATGGTTTACTTAAGTAGACTGGTTCACACAACATTGTCATAATTTGTACTTTGCAGATAAGAACGGTTGGGTTCACTGTTCTAAAGGAAACTAAACCAAAATTGGAAGATGCCTTGCCCTGTTCATTCTGGCTACCTTTCTTGTTAAGAGGAAAAAATAATTGTGAATGAGAGAAAGGCTACACAAGTCATGAAAGAGAATCTCCTATAACAGAAAGGTATACTTCTGTTCATTTGCCATCACTATTATGTGATATTCACATCTGCATTCTCTATTGAGGTCACTGTATCTAAAATACCAAATTTAGAAATATTTTGGCCATATTCCCAAATTTACATTCAACATTTTATTCTAACCGAACCAATTTTGGCAAATATTTTTGTCTTTAAATGGAAATTATGTAAACATATTATCAAATAAAATCCAGCCAATCTTGGCTTACCTCCCCCCAATAAAGGTTACTAGAAGTTTATGTAATTAGTACTTTGATGGGAGACCCAATGTAAATTACTTGTCCTGTCCACGTCGCTCTTTCCAATATTAATAAGCTATTGCAACAATCAGAACCTTTCCACCATTTATCACACTGGCTTAATTCACCGCTTTAAATAATGTAAACATTTTATATGATGGGAAGTAAATGTCTTTCTAAGTGGGATATTTTAAAAAACCAACGGTAGGATAAAGAAGTAATAAATCGAAAAGAACGAGCCCGAAACTAATCCTGTGGAAGTGGGTGCAGGAACCTTCCACTCAGCTGAGCCACCCGGGGTCGAAAGGTAAGGAAGGCGCGCGCTGGGTACTCCGCGATGGTAGCACACAAGCGCATGCGTGAAACTTTTCCCAGTAGTCCCACCTTTCTGTGCCGATTGGTCGTAGGCGCTCCATCATTTCACGAGTGGTGGGACGGCAGATATTTCCGTCGCGGACTTGTGACGTGTTAGGTGGGTGCCAAGTGATCCGGCGGTCGGCCGGGCCGGGCAGGTTGGGAGAGATGGCGGAGTATCTGGCCTCCATCTTCGGTACTGAAAAAGACAAGTAAGTGCCCCCCCCTCCGAGGTTTTCCCCCCTCCGAAGTCCCCGAAGTGCCTGAGATTTAGCAGGGGGGCCCACGAGGCTTTTGACAGCGCTCTGGCAGATACCATTCATAGCAATGGATTCCCACGAGGAGCTCTTTTTCTTTCTTTCGTTCTGAAATTCGCGCGTGCGCGTTCTTCAGCTCCAGGAACTCCAAGCGCGCGAAACCGCCAGCTCTTTCACAACTTGCTGTTGCTTGAATGCCTCGTGCACACTGAGGGAACGCTCTAGATTGCAATTCGGCAGCGCGCGCGCGCGCGCGTTTCCTCTTTCTGGAGGAGGAGCGCGTGGCATAATTGCCCGCGCGTTCTTCCGGAAGAGTCACTGATGGCGGGCTGCTGACGGCCAGGGCTTCCTCAATCCGTTTCTCCGCTTTGCTTTCCCATTTTCCCAACGGTTCTTTTTTTTTTTTTTTTTTTTTATGGCGGCGGGAGCGCACGTGAGAAGCCTTTGTCAGAAAGAAGACAAGTCTAAAGGCCTCAGGCGGCTCTTTTCAGTATTTTCACTGGAAATAGTTCGGGCGGGAAGTCTTCCCATACATCAAAATCCCTGGAGGAAAAAAAACTCTGCTTTTAGCGTTCTTCTGCCCTCAGCTAGGAATCCCCTCTCAGTTCGGCCGAAGACATTTAAGGGAAGAGGGGTTGAAAAGTTGCGCCTGGCCACCATTTTTAAAATTCTTTATAATGCGAAGTGAACACTTCACAAAGTTTTCTCATAGCCTTTTGAGATCCTCTGATATCTATAAGAAATCCTGACTTGTTAAAACTATGTGCTATGCACATTTTATTTATTTGTGGAAGGGTTTCTCTCCTTTACTCCCCCAATATCAAAATATCCCTAAGATAATTGATACTGATACATAGCAACAAATCCACTTACAAAGTTTTATTTGTAATTCAGGCAATGATTATTACAGTTCCAATATATATCTTCCTGACCGCTAGAAAGGGTGCCATAAGAGGTTGGCTATTCCAGAATGATATCCCAGTGATAAAAAATAATAATTATTTTAAATGCACCACATCACACAATGGGCAGAATCTTCAATATTCCCACCTAAGACAAATGGATCAAGTCAGTTTGTTTTACTTGAAAAAGTCTTGGAAAAATGTAGAAGCCAAACAATAAACAGGTTTATAGGTTAAAAGCATCTCTTTAAAGTGTATTTGAAACTTATTGGGAGTCATTTCAGTTCCTGCAAATGAGTACTACCTAGCTGGAATAAATTATCTGCCAGTAGACAGGTTGATCTGCCTTTTGATCAGTTGCATTTTCTGGATAGCTTTAAAAAGCAGTTCCATGGAGAACACATTCAAGTAATATGTTCTGGAAATGGTAAACTGATAAGTTACTGTCACCAGGGCCTCCCATTTTCCATCAAGCAAAGCTGGACAGAGGTTTCTGACAGTGGCTGCCATATCCATACTTGTCCCTGTAATCTTCATCTAAGTAAGGTATTCTGCAGTTACTTTTCTATAGTCTTCCCTATATGGCAATAGTTGTTGAAAACAGAGATCCAGTAATGCCTCTTCATTACCATTTCCCCATAGAAGAGTTTATTATATACCAGATCAAGTTATTCATCCCCCAGCCCTTGTGGCTTGGAAAAGCCAAGTACGGTATGAATCACCCAGCAAGTGATGGAGCTAATATAACCAAAATGAATCCTAGGCAACATATTGCAAAAATTATCCCAGGTGTTTGTTCAGACCCATCTATGCAAAGTTCAAACCTGAGTGAATGAGCTATTTTATCAGCAAAAAGTGGCAAAACATTCCACAGTGGCCTGTGGAAAGAGCTTTCCTGTTTTTTCCAAAGGGGAACGGTTCAGTAAATAAAGCTAGGGCTGTGATGGTGAACCTATTGCTCCAGTTCAGCTCCAACATGCCTCCCGCCAGCCAGCTGGCCTTCAGGTCTCTGCCGCACATGCACAGGGGGGGTCATGTGTGCATGCGGGATGGTGTGCGTGGGGGGTTGCACGTGCATGCGCGGGGGGGGGGAAGGCATGTGCGGGGACCCGAGCATTGTATTTTGGGGGTTTGGGCATGCGCATTCACGCATGCGCGCATGTGCTTTGGGCACTCGGTCTGGAAAAGGTTATCCATCATTGTTCTAGGGCATATTCTACCAATGCAATAAAGGCAGCATAATATGCTTTTTTATACTTACATTTACAATGTAAGCTGAAACTTCATATGTGTGTTTGGTCAAATTCTAGTCTTCCAGCAGTTTCCATTGATTTATTTCCTACAGCTCCCTGATAAATTAGGACATGGGTAAAAAAGGGAAATGCCTCAGGGCACTTTTATCAAGTGCTATGGCCATCTGGATGTCAGAGCTTAACCACAGGTTCAGCAAGAGGGTGTGGCAATTTATTGGGAAAATTCTCAATGTCCCACTCTTCCTATAGATTGGCAATAGTTATAAGTCTTATCTAGATTAGGAAGTACAGTGTAGGATCATGAAAAATGACTATATAATATTGCCCATTTCCAGATCATTCTTCGGTGAAGACTTGATTAAAAGTATAGCTCCCTCTTAGAGTCTAGCCAAGACTGATTACTTGGGACATGTATGAAGTCCTGAGCCTTTGTAGAGTTCTTCCATCTCAATCTTCTAGTGAATTTGAAATTGCCTTGGTGGTTTGCAACATCATGGATTTCTGGCTCCCAGTTGTTTAACATCTAGAGATTTAATAGTAGTTGACAATTCCTGATGTACAACAAGCACTTCTGTTATGAAGTAGCTGTATATGTTCACTATATAACTCTTGAAACTAAGTAACGCTTAACTCGGGCCTAATATGTCAAATACTTGTGCTGGTTTTATATGTCATATAACCAGTCCATGGTTTGCTTTTATGAACTTTGTGCTATGTCAGCTAAAACCTCTAAATGTTTTTTCCCCAAAAGAAATAACTAGTAACATAGTAGTAGTAGGAGTATGGAAGTAGGAGTAGCAGTATGGAAAGGCTTTAACACTACTCTAAAGGAAGATTCCATTTCTTTGTTATACTAAATGAAATTGAAAACAGTGGCTTGAATATTTATATTTCCTAATGTTACCTGGTTTTAATTTACAAGGTATACTATCCATATTTATTGTCCTGAAAATGCTTTATTTGGCTTTCCTGTTATTTTTATTGACAGGAAATAATTTGCATAGGTTCAGGAAATTATCATGAAATATTTCCACATAATGTACTATCAGATTTTTTTCTACTTTATATATTCTGAGAACCTCAAAGTCAAATAAGGTTCTATAGATCTTCACTGATTTAAATTGTTGTATAAAGCATATCTAAATTACATCACAGTTCAACCATATAGTATTTGGGAATAAGCTTAGCTTTTGTGGACTTTTCAAGGAAACCAATTTAAGATTAGATTGTTAAACTAAGACAATAAATTTTGAGAAGTACAGCACAGTTTATAAAGTGTTTTATATGTAAGTTTATATTATATTATTTTTTAAGTAAATCAGTGAATATACTTATATTCCTTCCTCTTTTTTTCCCACCACAACAACTCTGTGAGGTAGGTTGTGCTGAGAAAGAGTGGCTGGTCCAAAGTCATCCAGGCTTTTGTGCCTAAGGCAGGACTAAAACTCATAATCTCCTGGTTTTTAGCCTGAAAATGTCCTGTCTGCTTGATTTATTATTTATTTATTATTTCTATGCATACTGATTTTACTGATCACTAACTTTCAAAAATTTCTTTATTTTTGTTTGATTTCAGAGTCAACTGTTCTTTTTATTTCAAAATTGGAGCATGTCGCCATGGAGATCGATGTTCTCGGTTGCACAATAAACCAACATTTAGTCAGGTTTGTGTATTTTCTTTTTACAGATCCTCAGATCTTTTTATATAGCTGTAACTGTTAAAACTTAAGTTCTGTAAAGTTGTAATTTGTTGAAAGTTTTTTTTAATAAGAAATAATTCACAGGTTACCTTTTCTAAAAGCTGCCCTTTTACATTATTTTATTCTGTAGCAGTTAAAAAATAATACTTCTTTGACTGTGATATGTTCGAAGCCAGCCAGTGATAACCTTCTGGGTCATATTTGGCATAGTAAATAAATGCCTTTTTTAATTGAAGAAATATAATTTGACTAAAACCACCTTTGATCATTTTTCTGATAAGTAGTTCTGTGAAATGGCAAATATGTTCAAATTCGTGCACTTCAAAAAAAAGCTGGCATGAAAATGACTGTCTCTTCAAGAGAAATATAGGTGAAATAATAATAGGCCTTGCTAAATGGGTTTTTATGTAGCACAACATAGATTTCAGTTTTTCATTTTATGCTAACAGTCCAGTCATTTTTAATGTCATTAAAATAGATAATATTTTTATATCTCAATAAATAAAAATCAAATATATCACATTGTAGTTTAGGACTGGAGAGGACCGGTCTGTGGGTAGGCAGTCTGGTGCTCTCCAGGTTCAGTTTAATCAGTTCCACTATAACAAGCCATGATGAGATTGTAGGTATTGTAATCTCCAAACTCTTAAATGTATAACATCTATTCTGAGCTAGTTGTGAACTATCAAGATAACTTTATTAATAGCAGTACACAAATCCTTTAGTGCACACTTTGTCTTATTTTATTAAGTAGCAAACTTTTTAATGTATGAATTTCCATATATTCCAGTTTTTATCTGTTAAAAATGCTGAAGATTAAAATAATAAACATTTGCTATGAAAATAAGATATCAACTATTTGTAATGCAGAATTAACCATACTCAAGCACTGCTTAGTAAAGCTAGCTAGGATAAAAGTTGAGAATGCAATGCTTTTGCCCCCCCCCCCCCCCCCCGCCTGTTGTGAACGAACGACACCAATGATAAAGGGAAAATATTTTACTCATGAAAAGCCTATAGATAACATGACTAGAAAAATCTTTCCTGTTAGTACTGCATTCATTCATTCATTCATGTATATGTATATGTATATATATATACACATATATGTATGGTATTCAGCTTTGTTTGGGTATTTTCCCACATCATTATAGTTGTGCTTTTAAAGTTGTAGCACCGTTTCAGCAGAATCTCATCTGCCATCATCAGGCTTCTGTATTGTGTTCTTCTGTGAGTCAGACAGAAACGTTGCTACAACTTTAAAAGCACAACTATAATGACGTGGGAAAATACCCGAACAAAGCTGAATACCATACATATAAATACCCGCAAAAACTTAAGAAAACAAATACACACACACATATATATACACACACACATATGCACATAC